GGACCTGCTTAATGCCCCACAATCCTGCTAGCAACTCACAGGTTGGGTTCTACTGTTCTGAAGGTGCCAGCCAAATACAGATTGCCGCACATCTTTGTATATAGCCAGGTAATTTGAATACTAAAGATTAGCTTGATATGTACTTTGCTACATGATTTATCTTAATGTTACAGCACCCGCCTCCAGATCGCCAGGCAGGACCTGGAAGACAAGGCCCCTTACCCCCTAAACTGGTCCCAGATGAAGATGAAATTTGGAAGCAGAGGCGAAGACAACAAGCAGAAGTTTCAGCAGCCGTGGAGCGAGCCCGTAAGCGGCGAGAGGAGGAGGAGCGCAGAATGGAAGAACAAAGAAAAGCAGCTTGTGCTGAGAAGCTAAAACGGTTAAATGAGAAATTTGGCTGCGTGACCAAACCGTCCCGGGAAGACCCGCTGAAGGAGAGAGACAGGGAGAGGGAGAGAGAGAAGGAGAGGGAAAGAATTGCAGTGAAAACTTTGTGCCATTTACAGTGGCAGGTAAAGCGCGAAAGAGAAAGGGAGGAGAGGGAAAGGGAGCAGGAAAGAGAGAAGGAGCAGGAAAGGGAAAAAGAAAAGGAGAAGGAGCAGGAGAAGGAAATAGAAAAGGAGGAGAAAGCACAGGAACAGGAGATTCAAAGAGAGGCGGAAAAGGAGGAGAAAGAGGAAACAGAAGAGAAACCAGATCCTGTACCTCCGGAGCCTCAAGAACCAGTGCTAGCACCGGTAATAGAAAAACAAGAAAGTGAAAGCAGCAGTACTAAGGAAGAGAAAGGTTTGTATGGATTTGCATGCTGTCCTTTTTAAACACAGGGAGCCTCTGGGATTAATACACTGTAGGGTTTTTAATTTGTACAGCCACTGTAGCTCATGTGCAGCACACGTTGCCATGGACACATTGCTACTCCCAGTTCACTGTTTGATTCAGGCCCCAGGCCTGTGAGAATACTCTGCTTCATTAGGAAAGAGTCATAAAAATTGCAAATCCTACATATGTTGCAATTTTTGCTGCATTCTGCAAAATCGAAGCTTTCTTTCTAATGAGGTGCAAGTCCTCGATCTCACCGAGATACAGCCACCTTAGGGTGAGTGAACAGGTGTTTTGGTGACGATGCTCTTCTGTTAATGCAGTCTTGCAGAGCCATAAAGCCGCCGCTCTTCTCCCCTCCCCCCGCACGTGCTACTGTAAGCAAACATTTAAACTTCATCCATTAGTTAAAATCATGAGCTGAAGCACTTATTTCTCCTCTCTGTCTTGATCCTCCCACACCCTCAAGTGCTGAGGGTATCCACTGGTTTCTGCCATTTATTTCTGTCTTCAACACGTCATTGAGACTATTTACATATACTGGCTCTCACTAAGCACGGACCAATTTCTTCTTTTTTAAGGGTAAATTATTGTAAATCGGCATACTTGTTTCACAATCAAAATAAGTCAGGCAATTCAAAATTTGAACCATTCATCAGCATAAATTTGGCTGCATTGCATGCTCTATATATGTTCATTTTACAACATAAACAGCAATGCAGTTAGCTACACAATTTACTAGGGATGTTAGCAACTAATCGACTACTTGCTTTTCTTCCCCTTCCTCCCCCCCCGGCTCTTGTTGCCTCTATAAGACCCAGTACTGCATGATCTCCTTGGTGCCCTCTCCCCGCTGCCTCTACATTTTAAAATGAAGAGCTGGAGTCGACTACTGGATCTACCCCATTGTAGCTCTGCAGAGTGGCCTTTATCACTAATCATGTAGTCAATGCAAATTGTATTGACTACACAATTAGCCAGATAACCGCAATTTAATATCCTTACAATTTACTTTGGTAAACAGTAGGATATACTCCATATGTGAGATGTACTAGTGGCTCTTGACACTGCTCTCCAGCAACTCATTTTTATTCCACTCCTGTAACTTTTTTCAGCTTACCATGTATGCAGTTAGCCTAGCAGGCCATTATAAGAATGAATTGATACTGTCCAGTGTGGTTTCATTTCATTTTCGGTCTGATAGGCAGATTAATGTGAAAGTGAAGATTAGCTTGTGACTTATACTAAATGTAGTAGGTGCAAACTAACGGGCATTATTTTTATAGCAGAAGGTCAGCCAATTTTTACCCAACAAGACAGTGTTCGGAATGAAAAAGAGAGATCGCAGGTGGATCATGAAAGCGAACTGGATTCAGGCTCTCAGCCTCGACCTGCTGTTTCCTCGGGCTACTCTAAGCAGTTTCAGAAGTCGCTGCCACCAAGATTCCAGAGGCAACAAGTAAGCAACCAATTCATTAGCATCAGAAACTGAAGAGCTTATTTATTGCTGTGCAACAGAGACTGATCTTGGGATTCCTAATCCTCGCATTGGAGATGAAACTCATTACTGGCTGATGTTTCATAAAGATACTAAAATGCTTCCAGTCTTGTGTCCCTGACTTTATTGCAGACAACTCTTAGATGGGGCCGTTTATCCGCCTTTTTCTATGAAGGCAGGGTGTCCAATTGAGCCAAAAATAAAAGCATTGTTTAAAATTAGCAGATTGTGTCTTTACACAATTGTGTCTGCTGTGTGTAGACCATTTATTTCCTATTTTTCCCCTTAATCTTTTTACTCCCAGTTTATCCTCATGCATTTTCTGAATCCTTGTGCCTGATCCATAAGGTAAGTAATTCTGCAGTCTGATAGATGCTTTTCTGGAGAGAAGTGGCTCTACTCCTAGTTGTCAAGGGTTATTTGCAGGGCTCGACGACCGCGGCGAAAACCCACTCACCAGCCGCGCATGCGTGCACCACTGGTAACCGGGGTGACCAGCTGAAATCTACTCGCCATGGGCGAGTCGATATGCGGATTTGTCGAGCCCTGGTTATTTGAGTAGCATGCAAGTCACCTAAGCTTATGAAAAAGCCTTCTTTTAATGTTGTGTGTCTAACTTTGTAGGAGCAGATGAAACAGCAGCAGTGGCAGCAGCAGCAGGGGGTACTGCCACCGTCTGCCCCATCGCAACCTTCCAGTGGCCCTGTCCCTCCTCCCCAGCATAGACCCCTTTACCAGCCAATGCAACCGCATCCTCAGCATTTAGCTTCTATGGGCTTTGATCCACGCTGGCTTATGATGCAGCCTTACATGGACCCACGAATGATGTCAGGAAGGCCTGCTATGGATATGCCTCCTATACATCCAGGTAAAAGCCAGCATGCATTCTCAGTGAACATCCTCACAGCATTTTCAAACAGTAGACGATGCATTCCCTAACCCACTGTTTGTCCGCTGACTGGAAGGATCAAATAGCACATAAGTGCTATCTTTTTGTGTAAATATCAGATCAGGCAATCTCAGTAGAAAAATGGTGCACTCTGCTTGTGTCTTACTGCATTCCCGTACGTGCTTATCAAATGAAACCTCATTTTGGTGCTGCATCACCAGGATGTGGTGACTCTAGCTAGGTTTGTGTTAACAGCTTCACACCATTGGGCCACCCCTCTTGTGTTTGACCCAAGTTTGTGGAATGATGAGCAATGCAGGTTAAGACTTTTCAGAGTAGCATACAGTGCTGGCTCTCATGCTGATAATCAAATATTAGCCCTCAGGAAACAGTGTAGCAATAGTTTTCGGCCTGTCCTCTGTGCACCGATCACACTTTTAATCTTCAGCATTACCATTTACATCCCTGTTGATGTCATCGTTGAAAGCTAACAAATGTCTGAGGGGGGAGGTGGGGTGACATCCACAGGGTGGCTGAGACTTTGGGGAAGCAACATAAAAGTAGACTTGTGTCTTCTGAGTAGTCCTGTAACAAGAATATTCTTTCCCTCTTCCTTAATATTCAGGGTTTAAAAAATCCTTTTGCCCAAGGGCATTAGGAGTCTCGCCTGGGCAACTGTAGAACCAAAGCTTGAATTGAAATTCAAGCGCTCTCACTTTCCAAACCTAAACCGAATGTAACCCAAACTAAATCCCAGCTTGCTCAAGTGGGAAGTCTGGCCGATGCTGCTGTGGAGGATGCGTAGGGCGGGAGAGCCAGTCATGGCCGCAAGAGCAGCTCTGTGTTGGGAGCAATCCCTGCAGGCCCTGTACTTGATAAGGAAGTGTCAGAAGGGGATCTCTGTGTACGAGCTCTTTGCTCGTCATGCCGCTGGTTTATTTCCTCCGAGCCAGAGTTTCAGTTCTTCAAAACTTGTCTTCTATATAATTGTGATCAAGGTCCTTAGAGAAGGGGTTGGGGGGACGTGCTGAGATTGTGGTCTCCATTCCTTGCAGTTGGCCCTAACTGAACAATCTCTAGAACTGGTGGTGGTTCTAATGCTTAGTCACCAAGCCAGAAACAGAATAGCTTCTGCAATACCTTGTTACCCCGAAGCCAAAATACAATTCCCTTAAAGCAATCCAACCTTGGCTCCCACCCAGCCAGGTCTCATATGATGATGATGATGATTACTGAAAATCTTCTTCATATAAAAGTTCTACCAAACGCAAAGGATTGCACACTTTATCCATCAGGTGAATGTATTATTCTTTAGCTCTTGCCCAAATGCATGCTTAAAGCCAGTTCTTATTATAACTGAGATTTATTTAAAAAGAAAAGAGCTAACAGATCAGTATACAGATACACATGAACAAGAGGTCTTGGGTCCCAGTAGAGATGATGCGTTTTCAAGTTGCAAAGAGTTCTTGCCAGAGTCAGTTCAACAAGTTATAGACCACTTTCCAAATATCCAGTATCAGGATGGTCCAGATGGGACTGGAAATCAGTCTTATAGACTAACTGAAGTGTAGGAGCATAAGCTTTCGTGGGCAAAGACCCACTTCGTCACATGCATCTGACGAAGTGGGTCTTTGCCAACGAAAGCTTATGCTCCTACACTTCAGTTAGTCTATAAGGTGCCACAGGACTCCTCGTCGAAATCAGTCTTGTGACTCAAACTTCCCCTGATGCTGCTGAGGGAGATCTGAGATGAAAAGGATTAGAGCCCAAGAATTTTTCTAGGCCCCTGGCAGGCTACTATCAGCCTCTTGAAGGCAGGTGTTTCGTGGTTGAATAATAGTGTCTCTTTGAAGTAATCTCCTGTTTCCTAAACATCATGGTTAGTTAGCTACATAGATTAATATAAGGCAATTGCCTGGGTCCTGCCATTTACAGGTAGTTTGCTATATTCTTCAAAGGGAAATTAAGACACTACATTCACAGTTGATTTAAATGTTAATATCACCTTTTGATCTTTAACAGAATACAGGGATACACAGGAGCAGTTTGGTCACATTGTCAGTCTCTAACTATCTATGTAAACATGTGAAATATAAACTTTATGTAGGCTTGAATCTGGTTCAATTAGCTTGCTAGTTGTGTAATCTTTTCTAACTCAATCAATGTATTTTGAGCCATTAAGGTCAACGATTTAATGCGACTCTCTTAATCACAGGAATTATGCCTCCCAAACCATTAATGAGAAGGGACCAGCTGGAAGGGTCAGCAACTGGGTCAGATTCATTTGAACATATTGCTCGATCAGCAAGAGAACATACTGTACCACTGTCCGAGCCCCGCATGAGGTGGGGTTCAGATCCATATCCCCATGCAGAACCTCAACAGGCTAGTACTCCTCCTAAAGTGCTAGAAGAGCCTGAGGATTTGAGGTGAGCCCTGCCTGATTTGTGTATTTCCATGTGCCACTCATGTCAACCAGACTTGTATTTGTTTAGACCTGCAGTCCATATTTGCAACTGTTCATGCTCAGTTGTTGCTACCTAAGGGGTAGGTATGGATGAATTCAGGACACGAGTTACTGAACTTAACCAGCTGTGCTTTGTGGCCCGTGGCTGGCAGATATGCATACAAGGAAAAGTTCATACTGAACTCAAATGTTCTGTGATAGAACTACAGGGGTGCTGCATAGGAGCTGCTACGTTGGACCACGTGAGCCTTCTAATCTAATGTCCTATGTCTGATGGTATCCTAAGAACCCCATAGTAGGCAGAAGTGAAATTATCTGGCCCTGTGAAGGTCTTGTGCTAAACCTTCATAGATGGAGATGGGTTTAGTTATTAGTGGGGACCTTGCATGAGTCAAAAGTCCTTTAACATGTTATGGGGATGCTAGAGAATTCAGTTGTAAATATGTTTAAATTAAACTTTGTTCCATTAAACACACATTTAATTGCTTCTTCACTTAGGCCTGAAGCACATTTGGAAGAAGAACCAATTGCTGTTACTGCTGCTTACCCTGTGGAACACAGCCAGTTGGATTCTCATCAAAAGACAGACTTTTTTAGAGAACCAGATGATGTGGATGTACAAAAATTCCCAATCAGGTCTTTGGAAGAGGTGCAACCCCTCCAAACTGACACACCTACCCCAGCAGTTAGCTTTGAAGTGGCTGATGAGAACATTATACATAGCGCTCAGGAAGAGCTGGTACCTGTAGGAGAGAGTCATTCTGCTTTGAAGAGAAGCGTTTCCCATGGTTCAAGTCATTCTCTAAAATCAGAAGAGCAGAAGAATGAGACAATACCAAATGTCCCTAAAATAAGTAGTAGATATGCCGAGACAAAGGAGCCAGTAGAAAGGTCAGAGATTAAACCAAAAAAAGAAGGTTTCATGAGTAATAGAATATCAGAAGGACCAAAATCTGAAAAGCCTTTCAAGCCTAAATCTGAAACCAGGTGGGGTCCCAGGCCAGGCTATGGTAGAAGAGAAGAAGGTAGCGATAGACCGATAAGAAGATCTGGCCCTATTAAAAAACCTGTTCTTCGAGATATGAAAGAAGAGCGTGAGCAGAGGGAAGAACGTGAGCAGAGGAAGGACAAGGAAGGAGAAAAAACGCCTAATGAAAAAGCTGGGAAGTCTGAAAAGACAGAAAAGAAGGAGCAGGTACAACCGTCTCCTCCCCAGTCAGAGCCAGAAAAGCCCCCTGCGGACAGTGTTGCTCCACCTAAAAAGATTGTTCAAGAGACGGCTCTAATTTCTGAAAGTACAGATAGCAGCCAAGCTGAGTCGACACTTAAACCTGTGCCCCAGCAGCCTGCACCAGGTCAGCCGCCTGCTGTTCAGCAGCCATCACCTGCCGTCCAGCCTCCACCTGTGCAGCAACCTGTGAACTCCGTTAAGGAAGAAAAACAACCCGAGAAAGTTGCTGGCAAAGAGCACGTTGTAGAGAAGCCTCGCCTAGAGACCAGGCCAGTGAGGCGAGAGGCTGGTTTGCCACCCAGAACATATTGGAAAGAGGCTCGGGATAGAGACTGGTTCCCAGATCAGGGATATAGGGGTAGAGGCCGCGGAGAGTATTATTCTAGGGGTCGCAGCTACAGAGGTTCTTACGGAGGACGAGGACGAGGTGGTAGAGGCCATAATAGAGACTATCCACATTATAGAGAGACTAAGCCTAGGGCAGACCACGTGCCTTCAGGACCTCTTAGGCAGAGAGAAGAAAGTGAAACTCGCAGTGAGAGTTCCGATTTTGAAATAGTCCCTAAACGGCGAAGACAGCGAGGTTCAGAAACGGATTCTGACTCCGAAGTTCACGAAAGCGCTAGTGATACTCTTCTTTCCGACAAAGACAGTTTGAGCAAAGGTAAACACCCCAAGAGAGAAGAGAGAGCTGATAGCAAGAAACCGCCAAAGCCTCTGCTGTCCTTCAAACCTGAAAACAACGTCCGAGTAGACAACAGATCCCTAGAGAAAACGTACCTCCGGGGGGACGAGGAGAATAAACCAAAACCAGGGTTCCTTCCTAAAGGAGAGCCTTCAAGACGCGGCAGAGGAGGAATGTACAGACGTGGTGGTAGGGATCCAGGCGGGCGCCCACCACGACCATCGACGCTAAGGAGGCCAGGCTATAGAGAGAACCAGTGGAATCCAAGGCAGATGGAGACCATTAAACCAGAAGAGGAGGAGCCACCAAGAAGGCATGAACACTATGGTCCTGTGCCCATGGATAAGAGACCCCCAAAGTTTGAGAGGAAGTTTGACCCTACTAGAGAGAGGCCTCGACGGCAAAGGCCTGCGCGTCCACCGAGGCAAGACAAGCCACCACGCTTTAGACGCCTAAAAGAAAGGGAGGCTGCATCAAAAATCAACGAAGCAGCAACTAGCTTACCGGCAAACGCTACAGTTGTTAATGCAGCTAATGAAGCGTCCAGCGCTGCTTTGGAAATTTCAGGGAGTAAGACACCAGACTTGTCCAATCAAAATTCTTCAGACCAGGCCAATGAGGAATGGGAAACTGCCTCAGAAAGTAGTGACTTCAATGAGAGGCGAGAGAGGGATGAGAAAAAAATGGCAGATCTGACCACGCAAGTAGTGGCCAAAGCAGGAGAAAATGTGTTAGCCCCAAAAAGAGAAATATCTAAGCGAAGTTTCTCCAGTCAGCGGCCTGGAGTAGATCGCCAGAATCGCCGTTGCAACAATGGGCCACCCAAGGCTGGAAGGAATTTCTCAGGGCCTAGAGGTGAAAGGCGAAGTGGTCCTCCATTAAGAAGTGGAAAAAGAGGGTAGGTATATCTTTTTCCAGTAACTCCCATGCTATATGGACATGATACAAATACAGAAGGCTCTAGCACTCGCTAATTCCCTGTTGTAGCTTAAATAGCCCTTTATGATCCATACGGTTCATAACTAGGGGGCACTGGAGGACAGTGACAGTCAGTCAGTACCACCTTGCGGGGCTTTTGTCATGGGCCTTTTGTATGGAAGGAACACTTTCATCTGCCTCACTTCAAACTTGTGAGAGTGGAGGGGAAGAGAAGAGAAGAGCTTTCCAATACCGTGTTAAAACAGCCAGCTCTGTTGGCAGATGTATAAACTCTATTCCTCTCCATGAGACTTAACATTTAATGGAAACAAGTGATTTAAATCCCAACTCTGCAGTCTGTTGCTTTAATCCTTTTACTGTATTTAGCCCATCAGGCCCCCCATGTCACATTCTAGTGGGAAATCCATGAACTAAAAGAAGCACGTACTCCAGTTCAGGAGAGTTTTTCTCAACTGCACTTGAGCATGTTGCTCAACATTAGAAGTGAAATGATTATACTTATCTCTGTATGCAGAATCAGATTGAAACCTGTCCTCAGGGATAGATTTCTCATGCCTTGCAGCAACACATGATGGTTTGACAGCATCTTCTGCACCCTATTAGGGAGTGTCATGCTGCTGATCTCCACCTTGAAGACTACTTCAACAGTGGCCTATCTTGAAAACTTTGGCTGAATAGTCTAAGCTGTTGGTCCTTTAGTTATAAAACTTGGAAAAATCTTTTGTATAGTACTGAAAGAATTGTGAGTGTTTGACAAGAAGGCAGAATTCTGTAGGTTTTTTCCCACTGGCCCTCATCTTGCTACAGTATTAGTTACTAATCTATCAATAATTCCATGGTGTAGTTATTCCAAACGCAATTAAATATTAGGGATTTAATACAGAGACAGCAACACGGGGCTTCAGGTGTCTCAGTGGGAGCAAGTATGTGTGGGAAGCTGGCTTAAAAGCCAGCTACCATCATGTGTTGGCTCCCCGGGGACAGACGCCTGCTGCCTTGTGGTGCTGCCTCTGTGTCAAAGGTGGCAGGTGGGAACTGGCTTTTAAGACCTGCTAAATCTAATGCCAGGTCCAGAAGTTCAGCTTAACGTACGCATCTCCGGCTACATAAATAACAAAGCAGGTGTTTACGTACCTTAAGTCGAGCTTGGCGCCATGTCCACAGCAGGACGTCAACAAGAGCAAATGCGCCCGCTGGCTTCCTGTGCTCCTTGCAAGGAGTACGGGTACTGGCACTGACCAGGTGCACCCTCAGTGTTTGATTTAGCGAGTCCTCACAAGACCTGCTAAATCAAACACCAGAAGATCAATCTCTGACACAGCAAGTGGAGACATGAACTTAGTAGTTGCATCTTAGCCATCTAGTGTTTCACTAGCAACGTGATCTGCATGCAGATGTTTCTAAGGATGGTCTGGGGATGGTGGATAAGTTCTGTCTGTGTAATCTTGTCTAATGAAGGCCATTTGAAGACCAAGCAGGAAGCATAACAGCTGTAGATCCCACCATCAGTAATTCCTTACATCAAGAAGAAGTTGGTAGTGCTGCAATGCCAAAGACCTCCAAGGATGCCAGTGGCAAAAAGAGGGAAGAGCCCAAACTAGGTCCGAAGAAACCCAAGGAGAAGGTGGATGCTCTTTCCCAATTTGACCTCAACAACTATGCAAGTACGTGTTTAGTGGTAACCAAAAAACCCCTGTTAATACATTAGTAGCCCTCCTTCTGGAATTAGATATGTTTAGAAACTGGAAAGAAGAGTGGGGGAGAAGATACTAGTTAATAAATAGCGCTAATAGCTTTGCAGTTAGTGTCCAGAATGTGTATATTTTTTCCTATTAAAACTATTCATACTGGTTTTCTTTAGCTCTTTGTTTTATGGAGTTTAGTCTGGCTTTCGGTATGTGTGTGGAGCCACTAAAAGAAGCCTGTTACACTACATCCTTTTTCTTGAAATTTACCAGCAAAAGCGTGGGAACTTGAATGATATCAGGATGATCTTCAGCTGCAGTTGCCTGAAGCTATGCAACGCTAATGGAATTTCTTTTTATTCCAAAATCCTGATTTGATGTTTCTTCTACTGCAGCGTTTCCCAAATAGTGCTCTGTGGAACCCTGGGCTTCCATGAAGCGAAAGTAAGGGTTCTCGCAGAACCCGATCACCCTCCTTCCCCCAAAAGCCGGTCTTAGGGGAAGGTGAGCTGGGAAGTTGCATGGGGCCGCCACTTTCAAGGGGCCGCCAGCTGCCAGGATCTTAGGGGTGGGCCATGCCCCCCCTTTCTTTTGGCTTGATCTGTTTTCCCTGTTGTGGGGGTTTTGTTTGTTTGTTTTGGTTCTTTGTTTTGCTCAACCAGTTTTCCCCAGTAGGTTTTTTTTTAAGGGTTCTATGGCCAAATAAAATTGGGAAACACTGCTCTACTACATAATAAGTTTGGAATTGTTGAAATGGAAGGAAAAAAATGTACACCTTGTTTTATCTGCAGGTGTTGTGATCATTGATGACCACCCAGAAGTGACAGTAATTGAAGACTTTCCATCTAATTTGAATGATGATGGCTTTACGGAAGTGGTGTCAAAGAAACAACAAAAACGTTTGCAAGATGAGGAGCGCAGAAAGAAGGAAGAACAAACCGTGCAGGTTTGTTAATCAGGAATGTCTTATTTTTGTACCTGTTACAGGAATTGTCAACAGTGCAAAACCTGTTTCCACACAGGCATTTTTCACCATTCAAATTGCAGGATTCTGGTTAATTGAGATTGTTTAGCTGAAGTTGTATAGGGTATGTTTCTCCTTTCATCCCTCTGACTCCTTCGATAGCCGTTTCCACTCTAATTTGAGTAATGCATCGTTAAATTGTTGGCTGCTGTAACCAAAAAGTTTTGTTTGTGGACTCTTAGTAAAATGCTTTGTGCTACTGCCTTTGTGTGTCCATTTTAATGAAAATTTCTTGGCCACGAACTAGGGAGATGTTCTTAACGGTGTCATGATGCAAATGGTTCCATACATTATAAATGTTACCAAAGAAGCACTTAAAGTCCTGCTTTTTGCTTCTCCGGTGTTCCATACTTGACAGAAAAAAGGCAGGCTACCTTAAATGGCTCAGCCTTTTGTAATTTCATCCTCAGGTTTGGACCAAAAAGAGTTTGGGTGAAAAAGGCAGAGGTCAGAATTCCAAGCTTCCTCCCAGATTTGCAAAAAAGCAGCAGCAGCAGGCGGCGGCAGCGGCAGCAGCAGCACAGCAGGCCCA